GTGTAGACAGCCTCCACCTTTCTCCCTCAGAGTAGCTGGTGGACTGGTGGGCAGGACCGCCAGCTTTATGCTATCCTCACTTCCCTGGTGGCACCACCAGGGCACCTGTTGGACGCAAAGACGTGATCATTTACAGGACATCATGTGTTCTGCTAGCAAATGTGTTTCCCGGTGTGCACTGGGTTCCCCCAGAGAGCAGCACCTTGACCCCTGCCTGGCCCAGCTCCTGACAAGTTTGAGAACAGGTAGGATAGAAACCAAAAAAGCACTCGGGGCCTGTGAAACCAGGGGGACAGTTGCATTCAATGGCCGAGAGGCACCTGTGAATGCCAGATGATGTCCAAAATGCACAGAAAAATGAAAGTAACAGGAGTGCTGCACGGAGTACAGCAAGGGGAAACTTTCCCCTTTGTCAACTCCCTACCGGCCCGCACAGCTTCTCCAAGTGGATGGCTGCCTGTTGCCCAAGCTGATGACAGCGGAACCGTAGCTTTTCTCCCAAAGTCCACAGGCGAAGATAGGAAGGGGACAAGGTTGGGTGCTTTGTCGTGCTGGTTGTTGTTAAGCTGCGGTCAAGCTGATCCCAACTCATGGTGACCCTGTGTGCAGAGTGCACCTGTGTCCTAGGGTTTCCAGGGAGCAGGTCACCAGGCTCTGTCTTCAGTGCTGCCTCTGAATGAGTGGCAACTGCCAACCTTTTGGCTAAGCAGTAGTAGAGCACTGAACCATTCGCGCCACCCAGGGACTCCTGGGTGTTTTATGACTTTACATAGTTATGCAAAATCCTTAAGTACATTAGTATATCGTTTTCTCTTTTTTTAACCTATAAAAAGGGAGCAGAGATGTTCCCTTGAAGACTAAAGTGCATAGGATGCAAGGTTTCCAGTAGCCTTGTGCACATATGAAAGTTGAGTGTTGAATAAGGAGAGCCTTTGAATTGTGGTGCTGGCCAAGAATACTGAAAGACCGTAGAATGGCAAAAGACAAAGAAATCAGTCTTGGAAGTACATTCAGAAGGCTCCTCGAGGCAAGAATGGTAACACCTGGTCTCACGGACTTTGGACGTGTTGCCAGGAGAGACCAGTCTCTGGAGAAAGGCACCATGCTTGGTAAGGTGGAAGGGCAGTGAGAGAGGCAAGCCCTCTAGGGGATGGATTGGCACAGTGGCTGCAGCAGTGGGTGGAAGCATGGGAGCCCTT